ACCATTAACCAGGTACTAACCAGTGTAAACACCAACTAGAACACCACCATTAACCAGCAAGAAAATCATTAAAAATTTTAAAATTCTCTTGAATAGTTTTTTCTAGATAATTTCCATAATGTCCATGAGGACAACCAGTTAAACTGAGACTAATGGGACAACAGTGTGAAGCGTGTCTGTCCATTTCTGGACAGACCTAGACAGGAAGCATCTAATCTGACGTCCGCTCCTCCACACACACAATGATAAGACCTTCCTGCAAATCCAGATGTGTTTACAGCTGCAGCCCATTAAGCGTCATTAGTCCACTCATCCTGTGTCCACGTCACGTCCCACTGACTCACAAACACAGACTGGGATGAGTGTAGGAATGTGCAGCCAGAGTCATCAGGACATTGTTAATCACCTGTGGGACGGAGGTCAGGGTCCGAGGAGTCATATGTAATGTTGTTAATATTATTATTATTTTCTCCATCGATTAACTCTTTGCTTCTTTCTCTCTGTCAGACTCTGTTTGCTCGTTCCTGTTCTCTGGTGAACTGTTCGACCAACATGCAGCTGTCTGCCGAACTGGTGCTGCAGCAGTAAGAAAACACACACACACACACACACACACACACACACACACACACACACAAAGAGGAAACAGGAGTAGTATTGTATTTTTTGTCAACTCAGTTAGGACAGCAGTCGCACACGATTCATAGTTATGACGAATTTTGTCTCAAATTGTGTCAACGCAAAACGAGCTTCTCTAAAAATAACACACGACATGAAAGTTAAAAACACATGATGCTATTTATCTGCTGACTAACTCAGAACGTCAGTCGGCAGCGGGGCTTTTATCTCGGCCTGAGCTGGACCAGGCTGTTACTCTGCTCTCTCAAAACGCTCTCATGTGACCGGTTCATGAGCGGTGACGTCTCTGATCCTGTGATGTCATCGCTAGAACTCGATATGGATTATTTCGGGGGCCGATAATAGGAAGTAAACAATTTCTGATACCTACATATCAGTCCACGTATATATATAAGAAATATATAGAAATAAAGCACATCTTTATACTGATCGTCTGTGAAAGTTTAATATCAGACATCTTTCATCGGCCATCCATTGGGCTCCAGTGATTTGTTGTCAGCCATCTATTAAAATCTCTAATTTTCCTTTTAATGGAAACTTCTCTTTCTACGTCTCAGCCCTGGTGTTTGTCGTCAGTGGTGAGCGGCTTCATGTTCGTTGGTTGTGACTGTCAGTGTTGCCGTGTGTCCGCAGACAGCAGCAGTACTTTGCTCTCGGCTCTGGACAGACCATCGTGTTGAAAACCTTGATGGTGAACTCCGGAGACGACGCCTTCCTGCCACGACTGATGCTGTATTTCCCAAACAACATCCACTTCATTAAAGTTCTGCAGAACGTGAGTTTGCCTTGTGATGATTGGGCGGTTTGAATAAACGGACCTATGAAAAACGTATCCGCTAACAATAAATAACCACCGATGAGAAAATACAGTCACTGAGAGATTAAGTGATGAAGATGTTTAGTGTATTTTATGCTCCAGTTTAGTCTGCATAATAAAAGGCGCCCTGTGTTTCTGCAGTTGAATGCTTTTAATGTGAAGCAGCAGCAGTTTTAAATATTTGTTCAGCATCAGCAGTTCAGTGATGCAGCTCAGACAGGAAGCTCCGTTGGAGAGTCAACAGCAAACAAGGACGTTGATCAATCAGATAGAACTATGCTGTTTCCTGAGAAGCCCTTGAGAAGGGAGTTTGAATCCAGGGAGAGAAAACCATTTAAGACTATTTAGTTTGGAGGAGGTAGAGTTTGTGGTCCTGTACTGTAAACAGTCACCGAGGGGCGATAAAGATGATTTGCCTTTAATTTGGGGGGAAGATTTGGCAAATTAGACTAAATATCAAAACTGACTCGACTAATTCTGATCAAAAACAGTCTTTGATTTCTTTAAAATCTCTGTATCATAACTTATAGCAACACAAAGTTATAAATAAATACCTGTGTGTGTGTGTGTGTGTGTGTGTGTGTGTGCAGGAGGACAACCTGGTCAGCTGTGATGTCACAGAGGACGTCAACAGTACGATGGTGCTGGTCGACTGCAGCGTCACCAGCCTCCTGCTCCCCGCACAAAGCCAGGTAAGTCCCAGCCAATCACAGAGCACCTACAGCCCTGCTAACATCTGCTAACATCTGCTAACATCTGCGTGAAGCTGCACTGATCCCAGAGAGGGAGAACATCCTGTAGATGTAAAGAACCTTTTTCAAAATCACTAACATTTCCTGTTTCCTGCAGGTAAATATCAACTTCCTGTTGGACGTGAACCAGAACAGCACCCCCGGTGATGTCAACATCCACGTCAACACCAGCAGGTGCAGACTCTCTCACACAAACATTTCTTTAAGTCACGTGTAGTTCGTTGGAGTAAGACAGAGAGAGACGATTCGATCTGTTAGTTTAAAATCATTGATCGTTCATTTTTTTATAACGTTTTCTCTTCAGTGATAACTATGAGAATGAGGAGTATCTCCATGACAACGCCATCGGTCTCCTCCTTCCTCTTAAGTATGGAATCAACATCAACATCCACGGGTGAGTCAGCAAACATTACTATTACAAAATGAACTACAAATAATACTCTTCGTTTTGTGGGGCAGCTGGACACAATCTAAGAGTCGTAGTAGTTCTACCTCAGGGATTAGTTCTGTGCAAACTGTCCGAATGTGTCCTTATCTCACAAAGTTAAGGAAAGTTAACAAACAAACAAACGCCAGATCAGCATAAATAACTCAGCACTCTCTGATTAAAGAGACCTTCACCTGGACCTGAGGATCCGTCAGCGCAGGTGAGAGCTGTTAGCTGATTGAGCCTCAGGTTTATAAGCAGCAGCTGGGCAGACTCAGGGACACACACACAAGGACTGAGACACTCACGTGGAGAGACAGAGACACGGGGCTGAAAAGCCCGACGCCAGCAGAAAATGCTGGACTATAAAAGTGTTGTGTTAAGTTTATGTTTGTTTCTGGTAAAGAATAAAGAAAGCAACTCCTTCGTCTCTGTCTGTGTGGGGGACAGTCCTGTGAAATGGTCAACTGACACATGAAAATTAAGAAGAGCTTTGAAAGATGTCGGACGTGCTGATGACATCTCTTCCTGTCCTGTTCTAATGCATTTCTGTGTCTGTGTAAATGACAGTTTTGTGAGTCCGACATCGTTTGTGTTTGGAGATGAAGACTTGACTCCAGTCGACTGCTACACTGAAACTTTTAACTACACGTACAAGGTAAATGTAAAAAAACAAAAAGAAGCCTGTCTCTGTGGCAGCAACGTGTTTCCTGATCTATACTGATCTGTTATTGTGTTTCTGCAGGTTTTAAACTCCGGACCCAGCAGGTCTCTAGATACCGTGGTTGAGATTGCGTTACCGAAGATTCTCGCACCGTACCCACACAGACTGCAGCAGGTCGAATGGCGGGTACGTGCAGTGACAACTTAGACCTGAAGTCGAAGAACGAAATGTTTTGATGACATTTTCTAAAAAGAAATTTTAGAATTCACCTTCAAAGATTCAGAATTTATTTTGCAGCTGCATCTAGTGACCAACAGACAGAGTCACCAGTAGATGGATGTGTGTGTACCTGCTCCACCAGCAGATGTCAGGCTTCACCATTGATGCTTGTTTCAGTCCCTGTCTTATGTTATGAACATGTTGTCTTTCTTTTCCTTAACAAAAGGAGAGATAAAAATACTTTCAGTACCTATAAGTATTTGATAATCAACGCTTCGGACTCATTTTGGTTTGAACTGCGGAACGTGTTGGCAGATACAGACTTAGAGTTTTATTTTTTATGAGATGTTCCATTGGCTTAAACACACCAATGGCTGTTGATTTGGTCAAAGTAGTAGTGTCAGTAGTAGTAGAGGAGAAATGGTAGAAGTATAAGTACAGTAGAAATAGTAGTAAACATCAGGGTTACGACAGTGTGTGTAATATTAATGTTTGTGTTACTTCCCTGTCTCCACAGTCTTCTCACGGCGTGTGTTCCCTCAGTGACAAGACAGTTTCAGTCATCGATGACTGTGACGTTCCTCAAGCTTCCTTCATCAAACAACTCATCTTCTTCTTCTCCGCCACCTCCAGCCGAGAACTGGTACACACGCACACACACACACACACACACACACACACACACA